TCGAGATGAGCGAGGGCGCATCGTGTCTTCTAACGGCCAGGTTGTGTTTGTGCACGCGAGTTGCTAGTTTTCTCCCTGTTTGATCGACACAGTACTTGTTGCAGTCCTTACAGTTGATGCGGTATATCAAATTCGTTGCTTCTCGCGTGGCATAGTGCAACGAATCTGAGCAGATATTTACAAAACTGCGCTGTCCCATTTCACTCCAAAATGGATTCAAATGATTTTCGATCGAATCAATTAATTGGCTGACAATTGCCGACAGTACAGCGAGGGACCTTAGCGTACATTTATCTTGCTGCACTTGTCCTGTGTGTGTGGGCACTGATATGATGCCCACATTTTGTTCCACGTTTAACGAACGCTCAGCAAATAGACCAAAGAGCATGCAATGAGATCATGGTTGATCACGTTCACACAGAGAGAGAGAGAGCAATGATTCTTTATTAATTTGAGTTCTTGATTTTTTGTCACATATATTTCTTTGTGTGATGAACAGCAGACGGGAGGAATCCCATAGTTGCATAAACGTGCTACTCTGTGATGGAAACCGGCAACCTAAACCCCGGGAGTCGAAGTGGCGAACCAATAGGTTAAGAGTGGCATTGAACCGAACGATAGCAAAGCTACCTACCACCTTAATTGAATGAATAAGTGCAAGATCTAATCGCAGAGAGATTTACCAGGGCAATGTATGACAATGGTCGATGGTGCCAATGGTTAGATTCGAACACAACCCACAAGTAAGTGGTGTTGGATGAGCGCAATCTCCGAACCATTGCTCGCTCCTGGGGGCGACGGAACATGAGTGGTGACGAGGTCCGACAACATTCCCTGGCCGCAAAGATTACAGTCCATCAGTTCCGGCAGCTGGAACGAGTACTAAGCAAACCTGCTGACTACTTTTCTTACCGATCGCCAATGGCGATTCATGAGCACGGCAGTAGGAAGGGGGCAGCGAGAGCCCGTTCGTTCCAAATTGTCCCAGTGGAACATCGGGGCTGACTAATGTCTTCGGTTAGAAACCCTACGGTATATGGCCGTCACCCTTCCATATTTCTGTTTCCCGAAGATTAGTGCTGAGATCTCGCTGGTCCCAACAAACAGATTAGCCAGATCGTGCTATAGGTCGAATGTGCTTACAATATTCTCTTCGAGCACAAACTGGGTCAGATAATGGCACAAGATTTACCGAGCAGAATGGTATCATTTGTACAATCTAATTTCGTTGAAAATAAGGTTTTTAGTTCTCAAATTCATTTGCTTAAAAAAAACTACATTCATACTTCCAGTTACCAGGGGAACGTGAAAGAAAGCGCAAAAGCGAATATCAGATAGCAAGTTTCCTCATTAGGAAGCTCGGTGCTCAATAACCAGTTCCATGTGGCATTCCAAAGGTAATCGTTCTTGAAATTTAGCGACCTTATTATCCACAGTGTGGTACACAGTAGAAGGGATTAAATTCGTTGTGACAAGGTTCTACGGTACAGTTACGAGAATAAGTGGCCTACTCTGGACCGGGTAGTATAACAGTCCATAATCCAAAATCTAGTGTGCAGAAGATTTTCAAGTATGATTGATTCTTATTCATTGCACATAGACATTATAAAAATTACAAGCTATCTAGCACCGTAAGCAACCTCTTTCCACCTAAACACCATCCTCTCAACCTTATTTTTAGATCCAACAGGATCCATGGNGTCCTGCTTCCGCATCTCGTATCGCAGTCTCACTGGCTTCCGGTGATGGATGGTAATCTTCATCCTCGGGGACTATCTAAAATAGCCATATTAAACGAGAAAACTCTGACGCGTGTAGGACATCAGGCTTGCTTCGCTCCAGACTCTGGTCATCCATATGCTTTGTATTCTAGGGGCTTGCCAAGAAGATTGTAGCTATAACATAGGATGGATGNNNNTTGTGACTTCTGGCATCAGCACGAGAGCTGCTGCTAGGTTGGACCCCATTCTATAATCAATTGAACGGAGTGAGACTTCAAGGTTAATGCAACCAGCCACCGCACCTGTTCAATACACCCCCACTCCACACATACACCCGTAAAAGACGCAATTTTGTCGTTAGCGGTGCACTGAAAGACATGTTTCGCTTAAGTGATCGATTCGCGATCTCGACGTAATTGTCAATTATCAGATTTATTGATGATTATGTATTTCATGTTCACAAATTTACTTGTCAGAGGAATAAAAAATTTGGAAATTAACAAGGCATGGACTAAAATCCTGAATAGACGAGAATGCGTCGTGGTTTCATAGCCTGATTAGTGGAACGACCGAGATCGTGAATAAGGCAACCTGCAGAACTAAGGATACGGAATGTGATTGTAAGGTGTGCTGAAGTCGAAAATTAAAACCGTTCAGGATCAAGTTAAGAAGGAAGGTATCTTTGATGATAAGCAAACGTTTGATGAGATGTGTAAAATCAAGGAACGAACGATACTCGTTGAGTTCTTAGCAAAGTGATCGGCAGGAACCAAAACGAGAAGACTTAAAAAATTGGGATGTAGCTGTTCGTCTTTCTGCATTCCGATGGACAGCATGGTAGCCCTTGGATTAGCTACTTGCCTCTTCCAGTAAGTCAGTCGTACAATAACTTATCCAACAAAATGAAGAAAATTTCAAAGACATCAATACTCTTGCTGTTCCACTGGTCACCGAACTTGGTAGTTAAAATCGACGTTTACAAGGATGTCGTACGGGCTTGGAACGATCCCAGAGAACATCACAGTACCATACCAATCGCATTAATTCAATCGACAATTTTAGACACCGTTGGCCCGTCCGAAATTAAAGCACTCATTTTCGATAGCCAGTTAGAAATAAGGAAATCTGTTTGCAGGTGATCATGGTAAACAAAACCCGTTCAAAACAGCAGAACAGCTTATGTTACTGTAAAATCATCAGTAGTTAAAATAGACAGCTAGTTGTAAAGATCCAATCTTAATTTAGGTGTATGGATGAGAAAACTGTGGCGGGCGGGGGAATCATTTTTTACAGATGCATGCAGTCAGAAGCAGATCCAGATGGAAACAAGTATTGTGCAAACCAAGCAACAGTGTGCCAACTAGGATGTCAAAGTGAAACAGACAATTTTATTACAGAATGCGTATATAGATCCTGTGAGCCACAACTTCAAGGTACGACAATGTTCAACTACCTTAAAGC